CACTAAGCTTCATGCTTATAGTTTTCAATTTTCGTTTCAGGTACATCCACTAGCAAGGGGAAAGGCTCGGGATGTTCGCATGGTACACACCACAGTTTCAGTCTGGGATGTTTAGACTCTGATATGTTTTTGATACAACATTTGACATGATGTTTTGAGATACATGATTTATGATTTTCTTTATGATGATGGATGACTTATGGTTTTATTATAAATGATTTTAAAAAGAAATTTTTGGTCCGTATTTTTGGGGATGTTTCACAGAAAGATAAAAGATTCTTCAATCTGATAAGAAAGGAAAATGATTTAGTACCATGTTTTATGATCATCTTAGTGATTGTGTATTTATATCACACTTATTCCTCGAAGAAAATCTTAGTGCAATTGCATGATTAAGAAGGTGAATCAGATATTGTTGGAAATAGTTCGATTATAGATGAGTCATACTTCGTTCCAACACAATTTGTAGAGCCATGCATTAGTAACTATGAATCATATAGTGAAATTCATTTCAAGCTAAGAAGGTTGAAAACACCTCGAAATATGTGGACTAAAATTGTTTTCTTACTCTAGCACATATATAATTGGATTTGTGATGTTTTCGAAAATCGAGAAACAAAAGACAAACTATGCACTATTCTATGAAGTGTTTTCTTGTTTGGAATCGACACAAACTTTTAAATACTTGTTTTAGATCGTCAAAGAATGTTCCTTGAATAAAACTCATATGTCAAGAAGTCAGTGTGATTCGTATTCAACTTGAGAGTTTCAAGAGTCAACCGACAATAAACCTTTTAGTTATTACTAGCACGCGACCTGAGGTTGCTAACCTATCGTGTTTGGTTGGCACATTCTTATTTATGTGCACTTCAAGTTGAGTTGGCAATGCTTATGAGTTCTACGTTTTCATTTGACTACAAAAGCAAAGTGTGTTGGTCAGTTAAAGTGTATTGATCAATATAGGTGACTTGCTAACGACATGGAAGCACCGGTAGGCCCTTGTGCTACCAGAAGGCAAGAAATTTAGAAAAGCGAACTTCAGTCCATGTAGGAAAGCTAAATTTGAATTTGGTTATGTTCTAAACCTTATCTTATGATTGTAGGTTGGAAATGATAGATTCACATGGATGAGAATGTATGCACCATAAAATCTAGGTGGTAAAGGTTTCGCTCTAATTCATGAGAATGATTGTGAGGAAACACTTTCACTGATAGATTATAATACCTAATAAAAGATCAATATGGATATTGGTCGTGTAAATTGCATTCTCAAATTCACAATATGATTACAACGTCCCTCTTCATATTTCGAATTGTGAGGAATGGCAAGGAATTTTTAAACTTTCAAGACATATATATCCATAGGTTCTTAAAGGGTTTAAACACACACATATGCTATCCAATTAAGGTGTATAAGCTTAAGAAGTCTTGTTGGAGACTTATTGAAGCATCACTTAACAAAAATCTATACTTCAGTAAGAAAGTCAAGAGTATTGATTTCTAGAAGTCTAGTTGATTTTTGGGTACATGTCAAAGGTAGTGGGAGCATAATTGTTATTCTAGTATTTCATGTTGACAATAATGTTCGTAGGGAACAAAGTTTTCAATTTGTGAATTGCAAAGTTCAGGAATTATTTCTCTACAGTAGACATAAGGGAGAGGGCACTCATACTTCTTTTCGAATCTAAAGGTTTCGATTGTATAGTTTAATAGAACTTAGTCATAGACATATATGAATATTATGTTGGAATATTTCAACATAGGAAATTCAATATATGGAAATATTATAGCAAGATATTAAACATATATCAAATCCTTATATAAGATATAATGAGTCGAGCCATATGCTTCATATATAGGATCGATTGTATATGCTATAATATTCACTTATTCTAATTTTTCAAATGCTTGGAGCATTATGGGGAAAAAGACTAGTTTTTTGTGTGGCTAAAGTTGTTAAAAAAAACTATCAATAATATTATAAGGTTATACCAAAGGATTGGTTGCTTGTGGACAGTTAGAAGTATGATATTAATTTGGATGGACCATAGTGACATGATTCTAAATTAAGATGGTTCTTAATCAGAATTGATGGTCATATGGAAATATGGAAATGTTACCATAATGGAAGATGGTTGAAATGTCTACATGTGAGTTGGAAACTTTAATTTAAGAGAAGTGTTCAAGGAGTATCCCTTGAATTTTAGACTTCACTACCATGGAATTATTTCTACTACCAAAGTTCTAGTAGAATACTCTATAATATCAAAGACTTGGTCTTTGAGACTTTCGAATCTTGATATCATAGGAGATTAATACATGTAAAGTTGGAATTCCATCATATCTTAGATAGTGATAAGAATTTGGATTTGTGAAATGAGCATCATTGGAATAATTTACAGTTGATCTGTTCACAAAGGAAGGACTATAGAGAGCCATAGTATACATGTTCCTGACATGGCATGGCTCATGTTTAATTCAAGTGGTTAATTGATTACTCGAAACATTATACAATGAATAGAGTCGTAATTATTATGGTGATTAAATAATAGAGATTATTTATATTCAGTAGTTTTGAGACCATAGTTAATTAGTTTATTATTGTGTTTTCACTTTTCATGTTTTACTTCCTAAATAATTTGATTATTTGAATCTCCACAATCGCTCATACTTTGGGACGTAAGTAGTGAATGAAGATTGTCATAAATTGGATTGTAGATTGTATAAGGATTTTAGATATAGCAATTGTGTTGCTACAACGTTCATGAGTACCTAGTAAATGGAAATTTTAGTATTGGATAAACCGACGCTCAGAGAATTACTTCATGGATTATATCACGAGTAATCCTGAGTTGATAACATCTTATATTCTTGAAACGGAGATATATGAGTTTTAATTTACAAGTTGGTTGTACATTGGAATTGTGAAAACGCATCAGTAACTTGAAGTTATAAAACGTAGAATCATGTGTAATTTGGTGAGTAAAAGATTGAAGAATATGAGTCAAATTTTATTCATTCCTTTTTCCCTGATAGGAAAAGCGATATCTTTGGGCTCCTCGGTGATTTGATGTTGACTTACAGTGTTGGGCCCAACCATGACTAGATTGATGTGTTCAATTAGAAGTCTTATGATGTCATCACAAATCAGGAAATCGGGAAACAGAATTTTAGACAATGAGATTGATTCTAATCCATGTCTCATGTCCATTTGATATCTAGAATAACGGAGGAATATTTGATCACTTATCTAAATGATAAATATCTGATCGGATCAGAGTTTGGCAGTTGCTTTAGAAAGCACCCTTTGTTGTTTAATTTACAATGTATACCTGTAATTTAATTTTAGACTTATCCAAGTGGGAGAATATTGGATCAGGTGTCTAAGCTAATAACTAAATTAGTATAATATTGAATTACTAGCAAAGTCCTTTTGGGTTGCCCTCAAAACTAATATATAATTGGTCGGCATGCTTTTTAGAGAAAGAGAGACTGGTTTATTAATTTCTTATATGGTTAATAAACTAATTAGAAATCAAAATAAATGATTTATTAATATATTATGAGAATAATATATTAATTAGAAATAGTATTGTTTAATTAAAAATTAATCATAAATTAATTGGAATTAATTTGATTAATTAAAGGTGGAAGGACTAAAGGTGACAATGTTAAAAAGTTTCAACATTAACCACTTCTAGAACCTCCCATAGTGGGGAAGGTTCTAGACGAGTTTTAGAGGGTTTCTAGAGCTTTTCTTGGGATCTAAGAAAACTTGGATGCCTTAGGGGGAAAGCAAAAGAATTAAGATTATCTAAAAGGAACCTGTCATATCATTAGCCTCCCTATCACCTTTATAAACCCCCTTGGGATATGATTTTCGAAATCACTTCATTCAAAAAAAAGAGTTTCATAATTTCCTTACTCCTACTCTCTTCTCTTAAGCCTCCAACTTGTTAGGGTTCGGGTGTGAGCCATTAGAGGCACGATACTTCTGGTGTGCTTGCTTTCTAAAGACCAACAAGGAAGGATTACTAGTTTATTTGCTATAATAAACTAAGGTATTTATTTTCTAATAACCTTTTTTTTTAATTTCTAAAATAGAAATATACTTTAGGGTTCTTGATATTCAATAGTTGTTTGCAAATCATGGTGAGAACATTTTTAATGTAGTTAATTTAAAACAATATACATACAAAAATTAATTAAAAAACAATATAATTTAACCTGTTTTTGGTAATTTGAACCATACATATATAATGAACATTTCATATCCGATTTATCGTCGATTACATGATCAAAAAATTTGCATATGCAGTTACACACATAATAAGATCATATCAAAAATAGATTAAAAGTAAACAACATTATTTCCATCCCTAAATCGACATTACTAAAGAGACGTGTTTAGGAATCTATTCATTATCTTGATGTTTCTAGCCAAGATTATCATATAATCTATTAAATATTGATTCTGATCTCTTGTGTTTGACTTCACCACGCCCATCTCGTATTCTACATTCGGTATATCGTTGGAGACTTCCTCCTTCAACGGAGCATCTAGAACTTCGTTGATCTTTGTCTCATCATTCGAAAATCGTTGGAGAAGAGCCTCCATTACTCTCATTCTTGATTCCAAACTTTCTAGGTTTTCTCCAATGGTGGCGATGAAATCTTCATTCAAGGTTGTGTTTGATGCAAGATTAGCTATTATTTTTGTTTACATAGGTAGCATTTTAATTACTATTGAATGAAGATAAGATAGTTTAAAAAAGAAATTGTTATTTTTTATATTGGTAAACCTTGTGTTCATGTGGGTAGAAAACTAGTGAACAACACTATGTTATATTATTTATTATGTAGATTCACTATTCAAACTAATACCCATATATATTAATAACTAGAGATCTTTCAATATCTACCCTTTATTCTTATAAAATCCCCCATATACGCATATTATCTACCACCAGATCTTATACATCTTACTTCATTCCAAACGAATGGCTTCTTCATCCAAAGCTAACAATTCTTTGGATATTTTGTCTGAAGTAAAGAAGCTTTCTCTCACCAAAAGTATCGATCATGTGTACTCATGTATTAACATGAATGCAATCAAAGCAATGCTTGATACTTCCATCCAGAATCGTGAGGAGAAGAAAAGACAGATCGAGGAAACTAACTTGATTCACAAAGATGTTGTACACAAATATCTTGATGATGAGATCAATGTGGGAAAAAAGAAGTAAATTATCTTGAAGACCTTCATGTCATAATTAAAATGATATGTAAGAAATATAATGAGCTTAGTAAATAGATTAGATCTTAATTTTTAGTTGAATATTTTGTCATTTTAATATTTACTTTGTTATCTACTTATTGTTTTTAATATATATCTAGTTGTTTTTATTCTATATATGTTCTTCTAACATTAGATTAGTTACATTGATGTTGTTAAAATCTATTTCAATTTTTTATTCTATGTTGTTATAATATTTTTATGTCAATCTTGTATAATTTGTTATTATGATTCATATTCAAACCATATATTGATTAAATTTTTAAAAAGAAAACATGAAATTGATAAATATAAATATGAATCCAAATATAGTTTGACTTGATTTGTTTTGACAAAAAACTCTTTGTAATCCAACATTAAGCGTTATATTTACAAGGGCAATTAGGTCATTTTGTCATTAATTAATGGGTTCTTGATGAGGAATACAAATTTGTACTCGTTGTTTACTCAAAAATGTTAATTTTTTTTGAGCAATATGTTTTGAAAAAACTACCCTTAGTAATCTCATATTTGGAATTATTTTAAGTGCAATTTGTTCTTTTTGCACTTTACATCTTTTAGGCGCCATGATGTTTCTGATGTCATTATGTCGTTTCAGTTCTACAGGTCATTCCGGACGTTTGCAATCTTCACGAAGATCAAAACTACCAACGATCAAAGAAAACCCTAAAATCCTTGTTAGAGAATCGCTCTCATAATCGATTTTCCCCAACATTATTGAAGCTAGTACTTACTCCATGATCAGTGCATCAAAATAAGGTTTTTTTCTTATCCTGTTACACAGTATTTCACATTTATGCATGTTTTTTCTTAAAAAATGATATCAACTTATGCAATGTTTATTTTGTTAGTAGAATATCGAATCTGCAAGCATTTGGTTATTGCAAAGTTAGGGTCAAAATCTGCAAAAGGCATCATATCTGCAAGAATTTGGTAATTCTTATAAACATTAACTTATGAATGTATATTTGATGAAATAGAACTTGATTTATTTGTTAATAATTGTAAATTTCAATTTTTGAAGTTCGAAAAAGAGGTATGCGTCGGGGGAAGAACATATAGTGTTCAAACAAGCATCCATCGACATGTTTTAAGGCATGTGTTCCAAAACGCTTAACGCTGATGTATTTATACATAAATGTGCAGCGCATCAAAACATTGAAGCTATGTATAGACAAGGAGTGGTATGTGTAATTTGATTAATTTTATGTAATTTGATTTAATTTATTTTTAGTGGCATTGGTCTTAATGGTATTGTTATTTTGTTAACAGGAGGAGTGCTTCTGTGAGGGCAAATTTTGATTTGGGAATGAGGTTGTTGTCTAGGGCAGGAGATGAGCATCATCTTGAAGCAATTTATTTGGTTGAGATGATGTACATATCAAGAGGGACTCCTGAGTGTGATGAAGGTATGTATAGCATGTACATTACATTTTATATGTACTTAATTAATACATGTTTACAGTTTATGCAATGTATTTTCCACATAAATATTTAATTTTGGTATTATTGTCCAAGAGTAGATTTTAGAATATTTAGTGTTCTGTTGTATAATTTGCAATACTTACTGAAACTACTAGATTGGATTGATAGTTTTTTAATGTGTACTTGTAGGTTTACAACTACTTGATGCGTATTTCGGTTGGGCGGTTCCGGATTTGGAGAGTAGACAAATTATGCTGATAGTGCCAGAGAAATTTTGAGGAATGTAGATGTTGTTCATAAACCTACAATGGATAAAATCACATTCCAATGTGAAGAGGTAGGTCATTCTGTTGAAGGGGCATTTGCGGATGGAATAGATGAGGATGAGGAACCATAGAAGTATTGCAATGTTTATCGTTGGTACGTAGACTATGGTAAACTTTGTAGGTTTATTAGGAATGTGGTTGATAATGGATATTAATAGTTTGTAAATGTTGTGAATACTCTTTATATTATATTATATATATATATATATATATATATATATATATATATATATGTATATAAATGGATGCATATATATTTTTGGAAGACAAAAAGAAAAATTGTTTTAATTATTAAGTATTAATAACTTTCAATGGTGTTTATATTATGTTAGTAAATTTAAATGGTTGTGTTATAATTATCAATTCGGTCACATATGTTAGTTTAGTGTATGTTACTTTATTGACAATGGGTGTATTTTGTATACAATTTTATTTTGTTTAGGTTGTTATTTTCTTAATAACTATAATAAAGTTTCTATGTTTCTTAGGACCTATAATTATGTAGATAATTTTTTTAATAATTTCATGTATGTTTCTATATTTAACATTTTCAAATATTGAATAATATCGACCAAATACTTTGACCTAGTATCCATCAACACGTCGAAATCACGACCAAGGGTATTCGAAGGTATCCTGATACACTCTTTCTTTGAAACCGTTTTCTGTAATTTTCAATTTCAATTAAACATGTGTACAACTATTCTACGCCATCAAATCATCAAAGTGATTCACTTATACAAACGAGAAAACTTTCAAGATTGGTTCATCAATAGGTCATTTTGTGAAACGATTTATAGTAAAGGTACCTTTTCAATATTTATATTGTACATATATATTTGATTGATTCAAATCCCATCCATCAAATCGAAACCATATTAATGAACACAAGGCCATCTCCAATGGTAGTTTAATGGGGAGTTGAATGGGGATTTTAATCCCATTAAACTCAAAATCCCCATTGTGGGTTAATGACATGGAATTCAATAAAATGGGGAGTTCATTACCCAATGAACTCTACACACACACACACTCTCTCTCTTTCTCTCTCTATCTATCTCTCTCTCTCTCTCTCTCTCTCTCTCTCTCTCTCTCTCTCTCTCTCCATACACACTCACATAAATGATGTGTAAATCCATTAAATTGTATAAAGTTTAATGGAGTGTAGAGTTTAATAGGTAAAATTATATAATGAGTGGAATGCACATGTGTCAATCCATTGAACTCATATGATTTCAATGCATTGGAGATGGCCTAATATTGTGTTATTTAAATGTATATTGTACAGATTTAACATCATGAACAACACCAATAGAACGTGTATTTATGAAAGAAAAGATGATCGCGGTTCTGTCTCTTCTGTTTTCATACAAGAAGTGAAAATTTCATAGACTTTGCTACAAGTCAACAAAGGTGTATGGATGAAGATATAATCAAATGCCTATGCATCAAATGTTGTAACATACCATATAGAGACCGTGATACTATAAAGCATCATTTGTACAAGTCAGGTTTTTTTTCAGGATTATTGGTTTTGGGATAAACATATCAAAACATCCATTAATGACAATACATATTTAGGGGTGGATGATTCAAGCACAACTTTGAATAAAGTTCATGAATGAAGTTATATAGAAATGGTTATAGATGCAATGGCTCCTGGTTTTATTACTAGTAATCATGCGGAGTAGCCAAATGCCAAAGGTAAAAAAATTGATATGATAGAGGAAGCCGATAAAGAGTTGTGGTCTGGATGTAAAAAAAGTCACACAACTGTCTGCTGTAGCAAGACTATTGAATATAAAATCAGAGTATTGCATACCTGAACAATGTTATGATGCAATCTGGAAATTGATAAATGATGGGTTACCTGAGGATAATAATATGGTAGGTAGTTTATATGAGAGAAAAAAGTTAATACAGGCACTAGGTTTTCCTATGGAGTTGATTGACTGCTGCATGTCTAGATGTATGATATATTGGAGGGGTGACAAAGAGCTTTGTCAGTGCAAATTTTGCAATGCAGATAGGTACAAACTGTTAAAAAATTTTACAGATGTTCTCTCGTACTCTTTAAGAGAATGCATTACTTTCCTTTGACTCCAAGGTTGAAGACTATATGCTTCACAAGCCACAACTCCTTCCATGCGATGACACTCTGAGGATCATGGACACGATGTTGTAGTAATGTGTTATCCATCCGATTCTGAAGCTTGGAAGCACTTTGACATTAAAATTGACAGGAGCGTGAGGGGGGGGGGGGGGGTTCTAAAAAGGCTTGTTCACCATTGTCTTGAACTCTCAACTCATACATATTCTCTCTATACCACTTGTTCGGGAGTTGTGGGTCAATCAAATGAAAAAAAACCACAATTTTTGTCTTCATCATTGTAGTTTGTGCTGCCAAGGAACCTTCGTCCAGAATTCTTTAGCGTTTATGTCGTCCACATTCCTACCGGATGTTCACATCCGCACAGTCTCAGGTTACTTCTTGAAGAAAACGACATCAATTGTCCCTAATTTATCTTCTTCCACTTGTGGGTTTGCGAATATGGGAATTGGAGTGCACACTTTAATTATACAAATAAATCCCATAATATGGAATTATAATGTAAAATACTTTACAAAAAATTAATTACTAGTAAAATTCGTAACAAAAGTTGAGACATATATTTGGTCCATACTAAAACTTCCACGGGTTTGCTATGGAATTTAACTTTATAAAAAACATCATCACAAATTAGCTAGGATTTTTTTCCATAGAAAAACAAGCAACGGAAATCAAGTTCCATAACATAATTCCCTAACAAATAGCTACGAATGCTACTTCCATAGCAAAGAAACTATGGAATTGTTTTCCATTGAAAATTTTTGTTGCATATTAACCACGGTAATTAATTTAAAAGCAGCAGTACGACAGAAAGTGTTTTCCTAAAATTTTTCGGTGGAAAATTGATACAAATATTTTTTCCATAGAAATATCGGTAGCGTAATACCAACAGATTTGGAGTCGGTAATAGTTTCCATAGCAAGTCCCATGATCGATATCGGAAATTAATTACGTAGACAATATGGTAGCAACTTCGTTATAGAATGGCATTCCATAGCACGATCCATTGCAGAATAACAACATAAATACGTTCCATAGTTCCCCTCCCTAGAAAAATCGTGTTTTTCTTGTAGTGGAACCACGACTTTGATACCAACTTGTAACGTCCCAAAAATTACAAAGAGATTTTTCATTTTGATGCGTGTGTATAGTCCCGTCGAGCTCTTCTGACGAACGATCTGCAAAATTTTTAACCCAAAAATGTAAGCATAAAGCTTAGCGAGTTCCCAACTATACCACATATTCCATCATACATACAATGCATCCACACAAAGTGTTCGGCTCTAGCACCAACCAGCCAAATCTCTTATCCACATAAACATACATAACAATCATACATGAAATAACGGTCTTCTCCAACCCCGGGTGAATGCTATATGCCAAATCATAGTCTTACAGTGACATCTTGCCATGGGCCAAATCATGGTCTTCTCTTAAAATGTCGAGGGCCAAATCCTGGTCTTACATACAACTGCTAGGGTTCGATCCTGGTCTTTTATACAACTTCCATGGGCCAAATCTTGGTCTTTCATATAATTGCTTGGTACCAGATCCTAGTCTTCTACACAATACATAAAGTCATATGTAATCAGTGATTAGATAGATAGTCGAACAGATAACCTACCTAAGAGAGAACAATCAAACAAGAACATCACATTCAGGTACTAGACCAAAAGTTCTCTAGTACTAGACCAAGAGTTCTCAGGCTATCCAACTTAAACCACATATAACCCAAGATACCATTCCTACCTAACCAAGTAATACATAACACATACTAGCATATTCATACCCTTACCAAATAGCCTTCCCTACTTACCCTGCCATTAACCACTTCTCAATAAGTCTACTGGTCAGTTATATATAATCCTGAAGATTGACCTACCCCAGCCAAACATAACTCCTAACAATATCATACGTTCAACAGACAAGACCCTACTATTCTAGCATACCAAGACACCAAGTTTCCTAGACTTCATAAGCATAACAAGCAGTTATCCTAACCAACTAACATACTTGTACGCTTATACTACCTCTATCCTACCATGAAAAGGATATACAAAGGGATACATGACATAGTGAGAAACTCACCTAAACTGAAGAATCAGAGAAGCACAACAACCCTCTCATGCCTTGCACTACTCAAATCTGCAAATTAACTAACACCAAACGAGATAGATCCTCAACCAACAAACCAAATCCTCCACGTTTGACCCCAAGTGAAACTGGTGAAAAGTCAATGGTGAAAGGTCAACAAAAGCCAATGGTCAACCAAGTCAACAACCACCTCGACGTGAAGACCCCTTTGCCATGTCGTGGGCATGTAGGGACAAAATAGTTGAGCATCTGAGCACCTCCACATCATGGGAAGCTCTTGGCTACGTCATGGTTTCTGGAAGTGTGACAAAATCTTCATTAAGTGCTTAATCCT